CTTCTCTTCTCTTCTCTTCTCTTCTCTTCTCTTCTCTTCTCTTCTCTCCTCTCCTCTCCTCTCCTCTCCTCTCCTCTCCTCTCCTCTCCTCTCCTCTCCTCTCTTCTCTTCTCTTCTCTTCTCTCTCTCTCTGTTTCTCTCTTATATGTATATTGACTACCTTTGTTAAATAAGAACATGGGTCCATAGATTTAAGTGAGAAATATATTATGAAGGCAATAGGATTAAGAATTTAAAGGAGATTATTGGTAGGTATGGGAATATTTTAGGGACAACAACATAAAAGTGCTCAGAAAGAAAGAATCATGCAATTATGGTTGAAAAACACTCGTCTTAAGTGTCAGCATATAGTGAATTTAGCACAATATTAATTTATCATAAAAGACACATTGTTTTAATAAGCAATACACTAACAGTTTACTTAAATGCCTACTGTCAAAATATAGGCAAATAAATGAATGTCAAATGAGATGTTTTTAAAAATGACCTAATGTAATAAACTGCAACATATATATTTGTATTTATCAGAGTGGTAAAAACCTAAAAAGAAGAAATACGTTCTTTCATTTTGGCAGACAACACAGCACATGTGTGCTTATTGTTCACCTTAATAACTTAGCAAAACTGAAGCCTCCATCTCTTTCCCTTTGACTCTTCTGATGAAAGGAACTTTGACCAACTCAGTTTTTGTCATTTATTGCCCGCCTTCTAGAGCAGATCGAGTATGCAGTGTGATCCAGTTTCTTCAATCATTCTGTGCTCCTGGGGTAGTCCCTTTCTCCCTCCAGGTGGCAGTTGCTCACTCCTCTGTGCCCCTGGGGTAGTCCCTTTCTCCCTCCTTGGTGGCAGTGGCTACTGCCAGTAGCCTTAACATATTACTACACATCTGACAAAGTTAGAAATAAAATTAAGTGTGATGATATATATGTGAAAATGTCACAGTGAAGTCAATTACTTAGAGCCCTAACTAAAAATTAATAATATAAATGTTTTAAATATAAGACTCTTTCATCATTATGGATACTGTACATCCCAAATCAAGATGTCAACAGACTGTGATCTTTCTAGAGGTGTCTAGGGAAGACTCATTACTTGATTTTTTTAAAATTGAGATTTTGAGTGTTGAATCAATAACTTCACACATGCAAAGGTATTGCTGTATTAGTGAGCTACATACCAAACATTTTAAGACAGGCTCTTGTTGAAGTCCTCAGGCTGCCCTTGAATTGGCATTATATCCCAGTCAGGTCTTTGACTTACAATCTTTCTGCTTTAGCTTCCAGGTGGCTTGATCACAGGTTCGTAGCATCAGGCCGAGCCTCCCCTTGCATCTTCCAGCACTTATGGACCAGGGACCCCTTGGCTTGTGATAGGTAACTCCAGCTTCTGCCTGTAGCCTCTCCTGGCTGTCTCATCTGCCTCTCCTTTCTCTCTCTCTTTTATTTTTGAATGTTATTATATAAATATATATAAACCATAAAACTTATTATATAAACCACTCTTAAGCATATAATTTTCTGAAATAAGTATATTCACATCCACAATATCTTATAATCACTACAAATATCTGTTTTCCGAGCTTCTTCCTTATTACAAAACACACTCTGAATCCACTCAACACTAAAGCCCAATTCCTCCCTAACTGCAGCATCCAGAAATGACTATTCTACAATAACACTGTGTAGTTATTAATTTAAATTAATTAGTACTAATTAATCAACAAATCAATTAATTATAATTATTGTAACCTGACTATTCATATTGCCTTAGTGAGGTGGAGTACTATATGCCTTGCCATGACTGACTAACTGCATTTAACATAAAATTCCCAGGGTACATCTATGATGGGGCATGTAACATAATTTACTTTTAAGGCTGCCTGAGATATGTAATATTTGCTCGTGACTTGCTTATTTGCTCATCTCTCAGTCTGTTGAAGTCCGTCTACTTTTTTCTACCGTAATGATGCTGTGAACACGAGTGCAAAAATGTTTTCCGTGAGTCCCTGCCTCTAATTATTCGGGAATATACCCAGAAATGAAACTGCTGAAGTGTATGATAATTTGTGTTTAGTTTCTTGAGAAACCAAGCAGTGTACTCTGATGTAAAGATGTTTTAAATTTTGATGTGCACCAATTTACATATTTCTTCTTTTGTTGTCAGTCATTTTGGTTGGGTGTCCAAAAAAAATCCACTGCCAAATCCAATGCCATGGAGTTTGTCTACTATAATTTTTTCTCTAAGATTTGTATTCTTTGGCTCCTGCCCTTAAGGCCTTTGATCCCATTGGAGTCAGTTTTTGTGTGTGATGCAAATTAAGTGGTACAATTTCATTATTTTGTAAGTGGATATCTAGATTTTATAATCAATTTTATTTGTTGAAAACATTATATCCTTTACTTGTTGGATTGTTTCTATTCTCATTCATTAGTTTATGCATCTGTCTGTCTTTCTTCAAGTACTGAACTCTTTTGAGTATTTTTATGTATTTCTGGGTGTCCTGGAACTCATTGGTAAAAAAGCCAGGCTAGCCTCATACTCATAGAGATCCACCTATTTCTGTCTCCAAAGCACTGAGATGAGAGTCGTGTGCTACTATACCTGGCTTACACTGTTTTAAAATAGATGTCTTTAAATTTTTAAAAGTGGGGTGTGTGTGTGTGTGTGTGTGTAAATGCAAGCAGGCTGTGAGCTGTCTCATGTTGTTCACAATGGAAGTCAGGTTCTCTGCCAGAGCCATAATGCTCATAACTGCCAAGTCACCTCTGCAGTCCTAGCACTACACTGTTGCTTACTTTTGCCACATGTCTTGAGATCCAGAAGTATGAATCTTTTATCTTTCTTCTGGAATTATTCCTACTAATCATTGTTTCCCTGTAAATGAACCACACTTTCTTATTTTTCTCATTGAAGAATAGACATGAAATATTATGCTGCTAAACTGTATATCAGATCACCCCTTCCCACATTTGTTACTGTCGTTTTCTGTTGTTTGTATGTTTACTGATTTATTCAAGGGATTCTTGTAAATACTATGTTCTTTGTCATGGATGGTCTCTAAAGTCTTGGTTTCTTTAGTTTATCAAAGACTAGATTTCTTTAGGAGCATAGAACCCAAAAATGTGACAAAAAAAAAACCCAAAATATTCTTCCAGATCTTTCAAAATTGGCTCTCAGATGAAGTATGGCCTTAGCACTTACAACTCTTTCTTATGACTTCGCTTGCTCTCACATACCTACCTATTAACTTTTGTAGTTTTAAGTAGTCTCAAAATGGTCTCATCTATTTGCATAAAAATTTATACTCCTTTTTCATATTAACATTAATGTAGGATACACACACACACACACACACACATAAGGAAGTCCTCTTGGAACAATAAATTACAACTGTTGGCATTTCTTCATTGAGAATGATTGCAGAGTTGGGCCACTGTGCTAACAGTTTTATTCTGTTAGCTAAATACACGGATCACACTGAAACAGTTTTAGCTGAAGTAGGCAGGGCGTGCTAAAATCCCACTTACTCAGCGTTCTGGAATCTCTGGAGAGATGGTGGCTATGAAAGCTTTTGTCCTCGAAGCTACAGGAGGAGCCTGTTTTCCCTGTTCCCCGTAAAGGCAAGGATATGGCCTGATAATGATGTAAAAATGCTATCTGCATTTCTACTACACCATTCATCTTTTTAATAAACGAACATGGTGGGAGGGTGTAGATGTTTTAATGTTGCCAGTTAGTGAAATTAGTAGCAAGTATTTGTTATAAATATGAAAGGCTGTTTAAATTAAAAGATTACTGTACAAGCCTTTGTTTTAGCTTCTGCAACACTGAGAGGAGCAATCTGGTTGTTATTTCGTCAAGTTCAAAGGAAATCCTTTGGCAAGGCAATCCCTTTGGCTTGTTCCAACAGCCTTGGGAAGTTTGCTCAAGTTCAGAAAACCTCTCTCTTTCCTGGAGTAAACAAATAAACCCAAAGGCACGCTATTGTTCTGGTGAAGAAAATGTACCACAATATAGTTTGAAACTAACTTAGAACATGGTATGGAATGGTACAGATTATCCGGTCACAGTACATGGATTTGGCTACAAATAATCTTCTGCTATACCAGAGTCCATGGAATTTCTACTTCCTTCCATACACTTCCTTCCTTCCCTTGTCTGCTGGGTGTCATGTGATGTTTCACCCTGGTTTTAATCCAGTTTCTCTTAGGAATAAGTTACTGAGGATTTCATCAGCAAGTACCTTGGGAAACTGCCTGGTGCTTCTGGGTCTAGGGTCGCCTTTTGTTGATGATTAGTCTTGTTCCCTCGACAAAATCTAAACTCACCTTCCAGGTGAGCCTCTGGACATGTCTGGGGATAATATCTTGATTGAATTAATTGAGGCAGGGAGACCTGCCCACTGCGTATGGGCAGTCCCTTTCTGAGGGTCTAGATCATGTAAATTGTAGGGAGTGTTTCTCTGTCCCACCAGACAGCTCCCAAATCATGACAAGAAAGCTTACTATTAATTATGAAAGCTCAGCCTATAGCTTAGGTTTGTTTCTAATTTGCCCTTATAACTGAAATTAACCCATTTATAATAATCTAACTTTTCACTTATAATAATCTATGTTCTATCATGTGGCGTGACCTCTCTTCCATCTTGCACCTCCTGTTTCCTCTTCAAGTCTCCTGGCATCTCTGGTGTGCCTAGATTCTCCTCCTCTTCCTCTTTCTCCCAGGAAACACTGCCTATACCTCCTGCCTGGCTATTGGCCATTCATCACTGTATTAAACCAATCAGAAGGTGACTTGACAAAGACACATCTTCCCAGAGTACAAATATTCTGCAGCATTACGTCGAGAAAAGGAACCCCGAACCAGCGTGCCTTACTGCCTTCTGTTCCTGATTATGGATGTCTTGTGAGCAGCGACTTCTTGCTCCACTGTTTCATTTCCCTGTCCTATCAGTTGTACCATGAATTGTGAACTAAAATAAGCCCTTCCTCCCATAAGTGGCTTTGGTCAGGATCTTTTATCTCAGTGTCAGAAAAGAAACTCGGACAAAACTCAGGCTGTTTTTGACCAACCTGACTAAGTGGTTCTTAGGTCATTGTTAGAATTGTTCTGTGGCTGAAATGTGGAAGAGTTTGGAACTTTGAGTTAGGAAAGCTCTTAAATACAGGAAGCAGAGCTTAAGGGCCCATTGTGCTGGGATCTTGGAAGAAAAAAAATGCTGAGAGAAACATGGCACTAGCGGAGGCCGAGCTCATGAGCTTTCAGACGGGAACAAGACTTCTATCCACGTCTCCAGTCATATTGTGCTTTGGTCAAGAATCTGCTTTTATTCTGCTGATATCCTAAAAGATTAAATGAGGTTGAATTTTGAAAATGATGGATGATGATAACAATGATAATGATGATTATGATGATGGTGGTAAAGATGGTGATGATTACTTTTATTATTGTTGTTTTTGGCAGATGAAATCTCAAGACAGAATCATATTTGACCTGGTATGACAAGATGCTGTACCTGTTTAAGAGATCATCCTTACTGGAGAGAAATATCCTGTGTTACACTGTGACAACAGAAAGACTGTCCTTGCGGCAAAATCCTGTCTTTGGAGGCTCGATCTTGTGAAGAGTCAGATTCATTTAAAGAAAAAATGCCTATATGTTATATGTATTTTTAAGTAAGTTTATAAAATAAATTTTCCTTTGGGTGTTTGTAAATCCTATGATATACAGCAAATGTCCAGTCCAGCGAGATAGCCCCAATACGGATATAATGACAACTTTATTTAAGGGATACCCCAAAACTATCTTATTGGTCTTAAGACCCATTCAATAGAAGGAGATTCAAGTTGGGTAATGTAAACTTAGCCAAACATCTTCGGGTGGAGAGGTCATAGTAGGAAAACTATTGCTACCATTTTCCTAAATCAATACAGTTTCTCACTGTATTATAAACCCTTATTCTTATAGTCGTAAGTAATACAGCTCTCCCCACTTCTATTACTTAGGATTCCTATTGTGAGATAATATACAACCAAAAGTAACTTGGGGAAGAAAGGGTTTATTTCACCTTTAGATTATAAGTCCATCACAGAGGGAAAGCAGGTGAGGAACTTGAGGCAGATGTAGGATCAGAGGCCATGGAAGATGACTGTTTACTGGCTTGATTCCCATGACTTGTTCAGCCTGCTTTCTTACAGTGCCAAGGATCTCATAGTACCCAGCCAAGGAGTGGTACTGCCCAGTTACTTGGGCCTTCCTATATCAAATCAAGAAAATGCATGACAGGTCAATCTAACAGGGAGATTATTTTTTCAATTGAGGTTGTCTATTTCAAAATGTCTGGCTTGTGTCAAGGTGACATAAAACAAAGCAGGTCACACCTTAATAGGGAAGCTTATTTTTGTAGCAGAAAGAGCCTTGTACAAAGATCTATAATGGATTAAAAGGCAGAGAATAGGTGACTGTAGGCTGACTGACCATATACAACCCTGTGATGTATAATAAGCACCAGTTCAATTCCTACACCTACGTTTCAGGGAGCATCCCAGAAATGAGGATAGATAGAAATAGACTAAGGGAAAGCATTCCTGCTGAGAGCTGGTTAACTTCTAGATACAACATATAACTGAAATTGCAGTCGTGTGGGTGCTTAAACAAAACCTGCATAATGGTCATGCAAGATGCAAGTTGACATGCCAAAATGAAAGGGGGATGTTTCACAAGGCCTCACCCATAGATGAAAAGCTATAGGCAATTAATGAATGCCAGAGAAGGAAAAAACAGTTTTCTCCAAGGAAAGGGCCACGTACAGTTTATCCAATCCCAAGTGGTCATCTCTGAACACATGTATATATGAGCAACAATAAATGGACTCCGTAAGTTTTTATGTGTGTGTATGTGTATCAATAATAATTGTAGAAGGGGTGATGAACTTGAGATGGAGTTGGAGCAGAGGGAGCAGAGAGAGCAGAGGCGAAATTATGTTAACAAAGTGTACTTATGTACAGACTTCTCAAAACAATGTGTCAAAAGTAAATAAGCCTAAAAATAAGGAGTTCTCTAATTTTGAAAAGTCAATGCCTAGGAAAGTGTTTCTCCAGAATCAATGCACAGATGCTGATCTGGCTGTGGTCCAAGAGGCTCAAGTAATATCTCTAGACTGTAGCAATTTCCTCCCTGTCGTACTGACTTTGGTAGCATGGAAGATGAAAGACTTGAGAAGGTCAGGAAATGGACACGAGGCCATGCAGTGTATGGTAGGGTTGAAGTCCCAGAAAGAAGGCCTGAGAAGTCATTATGTGCAGCTGTGGAGTTGAAACCTAGGTTTCAGTCCTGGAGACTCCAGATGCTGGAGATGTCAGTACCATGCAACAGAGTCCAAGGAGAGCTAAGGCAGTGGAATGGAGGCAACCTAGGAGAAAATCTTTGAGTGCTTAAGGCAGTTGTCTTAAGGTTAGTATTGCTTGTTGAAAAACCTTGACCAAGAGCAAGTTGTAGAGGGAAGGATTTACTTGGCTTATAATTTCACATCATAGTCCATCATTGAAGGAAGTCAGGACAGGAGCTCAAGCAAGACTGGAATCAAGATGCAGGAGCTGATGCAGAGGCCATGGAGAGGTGCTGCTTACTAGCTTTCACCATGTGGCTTGCTCAACCACTTTCATATAAAATCTAGGACCACTAGTCCAGGAATGGTCCGATCAATGATGGGCTAGACCCTCCCCCATCAATAGCTAATTAAGAAAATGTCTTCCTGCCAAATCTTATGGAGGCATTTTCTCAATTGAGGATCCCTCCTTGCTAATGACTCTAGCTTGTGTCACGTTGACACAAAACCAGCCAGCACAGCAGTATAGCTGGGAGGAGGGATGTCAAGCCTTTTAGAGTCTAGTTGATTACATTACAATTCCTGGATGAATACAGAGCTTCAGTATTTAATGTTTGCCTTGTGGATTTTGGTGGTCTTTCTTTCTTTCTTTCTTTCTTTCTTTCTTTCTTTCTTTCTTTCTTTCTTTCTTCCTTCCTTCCTTCCTTCCTTCTTTCCTTTTTCTCTTTCTTTCTTTCTTTCCTTTCTTTCATGTGCGTGTGATTATTTCTTGTTATGTCCTTGTTCTTCTTTAAAATAGTAATGATATTTTGTGTCACTAAATGTTGGAAATTTGCAAGTTATTTTAATTTTTTTCTAAAAGATCACAGTTAAGAGTTTTTGGACTTTTACAGTGTTGAAATTGTTAAGGCTTGTTGGAACAGTTGATGTTAGGTTGAATGCATTTCTATTATCAGATGGCCATGAGTCTATAGATACAAGAGACTGTGGATTAAAAAGTGATGTGCTCTTGTTTCAAGTTGACAAGAATGAAGTGGTAATGATTAGTATAATTGTCAACTTGATAGGACCTATAATGGCCTGGGATGTGAGCCCCTGGGCATGTTTATGAGTAATTATTCTGATGGCATTGACTGAGGATGGTTAGACATGCTCATTGTGGAGGTGAGTCTCTGGAAGGAATCCTGAACTCTGTAAATAGAGAACTAAGAACCAGCAGGTTTTTACAACTCTCTTCCTGATTGTGGTTGCCCTGTGACCAGGTGTTTCAAGCTGCTGCCAATTACATTTCTCTGCTCTGGTGGACTGCCTTGAAATGTGAACTAAACTAAGCCCTTTTCCCTTAAATTACGTTGTCAGAGTGTTTCATGGCAGCAACACAAGAGAAACTAAGATACCCTTGCAAGTTACAATGACGTAGGCAGCTGAAAACAGAAAGAATGCCTTTTGCAAAGACAGAAAAGTTATTAGTCCGTTTCAAATTACTTTGCTGCACTGTATAGGGATGGGAACATGTTAGAATCCATAGCCCACCTAACAGGAGTTGAGGATAGAAGTGGTTACCGCAGATAGATGAAAGAAAGGGGGATTGAAACAGTGAGATGTTTCTCTGTGGAAATAACAGTATATTTGGGCAGGCATAATTTCTTGTTGTCAACGACACACTAAAGACAGTTAACAACAGAATAGTTATACAATAAAATAGAAGATTTTGAATGAGCTCATAAATGAATGGAAGGTGATGGCATGATTGTTGCTGTAATCAGTTGTTATGTAATATATACATTGACTTTAGACATCACATTATGCCTCATAAATATGCGTAAATAATTATATGTCAGTTAAAATAAAAAACAGTTAGTTAAATTCTAAATGTAAGAGTTTGTTGTCAAAACTCAAGTCAAGCAGCAGCTGACGATCTAGGAGATTGCCAGAGTTTGACTGTATAGTTACAGCACATCTGGTGGGCATGGGTCAAGGCCCAAGGGAACGGGAAACCTAAGCTGGCACAACTGAATGATGTCTCAGCAGTTTGTTCTGCTGACTTTCTGAACCCTCACAACTTAGAGACTTCCCTTAGCCAGTCTTTTCATCCTGCTGCCGAGCTCCTTCCCTCAAGTTTTATACATTTCTACTCAATAACTTAGCTGTCATGTACTGTGACTGACAATGAAAGGGACTGGGTAGGTTTTGAAAGGATTGTAATATTCAGTTAACAATCCTGCTCTTGAAGATGATTTTAGAGCCTACTGGACTGAGGAAGTGGAGAACTGGATAAAGAACGACTTATTAACTAGGGGGCATTTTTCAAGATATGTAGTTTAACATTTGTGGTGGTTTGAATAAGAAATATCACCATAGACTTGTATTTTTGAGCACATGGTCCCCAGCTGGTGGCGCTATTAAGCAGGCTATAGGGCTTGGAGAAGGCGCAGACTAGCTGAAGGAAGAAGATCACTGATGTTAGGCTTTAAGAGGTTAAACCTCACTTCCTGTTCTCGGTGCCTCTGTGCTTCTGGTTCCCGCCATGCTTTCCCCATCATAGATTAAATTCTCTGTCCTTATAGGACCATAGACTGAAGTGGAGCTTTTCTCCTTTGATATTTTATCCCAGCAACAGAAGAGCAACTAACACAAGAGCAAGAGTAACTGCTGAGCCCCTGCTCCAGCCCTGGAGACTTCTATTGATAGGGCATTTCTGTGTCTGTCTTTCATATCTCTGAAAATTTTAAACTTCATTTACATGTTTTATTCTTTCCTTTCTAAGGGGCTCATCATTTTTAACTTCTTATTAATTAATCCACTTCTTAGTTGTATCTGTGAAGCTACAGACCTCATCAGCTATCCTTCCTCATTTCTATTCTGTTCTAGGCCTAATATTTCCATCTTTTATGCATCTCATTGTCACAGTCTTAACAGCATTCTCATTCTTGATCAAGGTGAGCAAGGTGTCATTGTTCCTCAACTATTTAAGTCTTGATGTCTTGTTTATTTTACATTTTTGAGTGTCTGAGAATATGCTACCTCATCTATTATTCTCATGAGGAAGTTCAGAGTGTTTATTTTGGAATATGACTTCATGTTTCCCAAGAAGAGTCAGCTATTTTATCTGGCACTGTGAACTGCGCAAGAGCCAAGCCTGCCCATTACCTGGGTCAAGGTGAGTTTTAAGGAACAGGTTTACGGTGAATTCCAGGATTGAGATCTTACAGGCCACAGTAACTATTACAGCTCACTCCCATTTGCTGACTGTCTAGCTCCAACTAGCTCTCCCAGTGGAACTCACACTGATAAACCTCCAAGAGTGAAGCAGTTCCAGAGCTGGGGAGGTGACTTAGCAGTTAAAGTGCTTGCCACAAAAGCAAGAAGACCAGGGTTCAGTTTTGGACAGGACACAGAAAGGTCATGAGTTCTGGGTTTGCTTGACAGATCTTGTATAAGATCATTATCTTATTTTAAAAATAAGACGTAAATATATGAACAGATTTTTTTTTTATGTGTGTGACATAGTAGGATAATGTAACAGTATACACAAACTCTACATTTCAATTTGCTTAAGAGAACATGGGGGAGAGGATGTCAGATTATTTAAATATCATCTACAGGGAAAACCTTGTACATCATTTTCTTGAGGATTGCAGTTTGTAAAATAAGATGGGCCAGAAGATGGCACTATAGTAGCACATTTGGTCTATGTGTCTTTAGACTTCCATAGGCAGCAGTGGAACTGGTGAGCTATTTTCCCATTTGCTAGACTCAACTATAATGCAATTGTAAGGACAGATTGTATGATGCAGCTCTTGTTTTATCTGGGCTGATTGGCTGCTTGCCTAAGTAGAATTCGTGTCACCTCAATGTCCCACCATTAATTCTTACTTTTTTTTTTTTGATTGCCATAAATACCTTTTCCTGGGTTAAGGAATAGTTTTGTCAGTTTACAAAAAAGTTCTTTTTTATTTTTAATATGCCATTAATTGGCAATATTCTTTGATCTTAGCAGAAGAATAGCAGGGGCTGGGGGCTGGTGGTGGGATTAGAGGTAGCGGGGTGTACGGGGTCCTATAGGCATCTCATGTAGAAGTAAGAAATGTTGCCAGGTGGCAGACAGTGCCTATAATGATCTCCCTCCTTCCCCAAACAATGATGCATCTGTGACAAAATATCAGGGGCATGAAAATTGAACCATCATTCAGTGACAACTCAGAGAGAACAAATTTAGTTTATTATCATAAATACCTTCCAGTATGTACAGTGTAATATGTTAGCCAAGACTCAATACAAAACCCCAATGAAAACCTTAACACAGCAGTTAACTCATCAATTATTAAAAAAATGATAAGCTGTACACAGTAATTCTGCATTTGGTTTGACACCACTCTATTCTCACAGGTGAGAATGAAAAATTGGACAACTAAATACTTATGAAACTACCAATTTTATCTTTGAAACTGAGATATTCTAAAGATGCTTTCTGATTATTTGAATGTCTTATATAAATATTCTACCATAGGATATACGTGCTATTTAACAATAAATTCAATTGTTGCCCAACAACATCTGTGCTAACATTTTATAAAAAATATTTTATGAATGTCTACTGGTACTTTAGCTTCTCATATCAGGTATTTACATTTTCTTGGAATTAATTTATGCCAACTTTCCATCTTACAGGTACTTAATTGTTCTAAATGTGGTTGAAAATAAAAGTAGTTAAACAAAATGAATTAAGAGAATATAAAGTACAATTTAAAAAATAAATTTGTGTAAGTAATGCAACATCTCTCATTTTAGATATGGAACTGAAAGTAACCTTACTAGACTCTTGCCCATTTGCAGTTTATTAATGAAAGGGCCAAAATAATCACCTTTAATCTTTTATGTGATTAAAAAACTCACTGCTTCAAAATATACATCAACTAAATTGTCTAATAAAATATGTACAAATATAAATATGACGTCTCAGGGAAAGATTCAATACCTATCTGAAGATGAAAGGAAATGAACCTGCTCATTGCCATCTCCGAAGGCCTAGTCTCGTGTCTAGTGCTTGCTCCACCATTTGTCACCATTGGCTTAGACGGAGTAACTCGGCCTGTCTAGTCAGTGGACCAACAAACTGCCGAAAAGAGTTTTCTTTGAAGAGGCCAAAAACCATGGAGACACAAGAGAATGGTCTGGAGAGAAGCAGAGAGTGGCGGTGCAGTTAGTATTTAGTTAATCTTCCGATTACGGTAAGTTGGAAGAAATATGAAGTAGGAGAACAGAGGTGAGCAGGGCGGTAATCAGATGCTTTGTGGAGCAGACAGCATCCTTTGTGTTCATGGTTGGTGGAAACGTTCCAGAAACGCGGAAGAAAGTCTGTCCCCTTCTGATTTAAGGTCACCACACCATGCTCGTTTGCATCTCGAACTAGATGACCATGTTCACGGTAATGAACACCGAATGAAATTTGCCGGAGGCCGTGTGTGACACGCCAGTTTGAATAAGGGGTGGCATTAGATGTTAGTTTTAGATTTAATCCAGTTCCGATAATGAGTCACTCTCGTGTAAATTCCGGGCTTGTTTTCTTTTCCACAGTCGATTCCCCAACTAACAATGCCAAGAAGATACCAGATATTTCCGTCGTGAGGAATGACCAGGGGCCCTCCAGAATCACCCTAGAAAAGAAGGAAAACATAATCAATGTGGGAAATATTGTTTCCGAAATGAAAACTAATTGGCTCCTGTCTAATAAATCCATATCTGGAAAGAACACTGCGACTTTTCCACAAAGCTTCTTTAACTCTACTAGATAGAAGTGATGCCTTGGTTTAAATTAGGTTTTCACTTTGTTCCACTCTTATTAATCAGTAGTAGAGTGTTCTGGAATGTTCTCTCAAATGTGCAGCATTTGTTAATGAAAGGCTATGGCAAGTCCCCAGTAAACACCTTTAAAGACCTAATCTCAGTTACCTTTAACATAAGATTTCGAAAAAAGATTTAAAATTTATCTTTACGTGATAACTTTATCCTTTCCAAAAATAAAAAATACCCTGTGATAGTTTATTACAATTTCTTAGAATGAGGGAAATGGTAGAGTCTGGAGGAGGCAGAGGCTCCTGAAGCAACTTTGAGGCTCCTTTCTTTCCACATTCCTCCTTTTCTTAGTCTCTTCCAGTGTCTGGTGCACAGCGTGAACACCCTGATTGACTGAAGACAACCCTCCTTAGCTGCTTTCTCTCAGGCCTCCTTTAAAATTGAGTTCTTCACGCTCTTACTGTACTGTCAGTAAAAATAAATAAGTATAAGCCAATGAGCCGAGAATGTCAGCTCCTGTGTAGATCATGTTTAGTCTCTGAGTCGTGTGATTTCATTGTATGTTGGATACACATCTTGCTTCTCCTTCTCAAGGGGGAATTGGAAAGATACCTTGTATTCTAGAACGTGTAGCTAAACCCTGACTTTCTTCCTTTGTTTTAGTAATCCGTGCCCTAATGAAATTGTAGACGCATTGTGTTTGTCTTAAATTTCAGTTTCCTTCAGCAATGTCTGTAGTAACCTATGATTCACAAATAGCTGAATAAATAAATGAATGCATATTTATTATCATTGTATGACAACCAATATCAGGTCGACAAACATGCATGCATACAACAAATGTCACACATGTGCCAAGTTATCATAGACAATATTAATTCTTCAAGAAATCACTAAGTCCTTGTGCCCAGTCACAAATGCTATAGGTCATATCTTTAATTCATTAGTTATTTTTAGATCTTCAAATAGTCATATTTGGAATTGATAATGTGCTTAAATGCTTAGTGCTTGTAATAAATGTGTTGTAAGTATGGAGAAAATGCTATTTCTATAATTTGAAAAATGATCTGTGATCTACTATGTTTAAAGGAGTGACTACAGGTAATTACTTTTCCCAATACTGTAATTCTATTTGGGCATACACTATTTAATTACAAAGATTAGCAGATCTTGTCTCACTGTGGCTTGAAGTTAATAGGAATGAGATATTCAAAGTTTAGTTGACTGAGCCTTGATTCTGTGGCTTCATGCCTGTTTTCTACTCTGACTGAATTACTGATCTCTACCAAGAGTTCTGATTTTCAACTGAAAACCTTGCTTAGATAGCTCTGTTCAATATGATGTTTCATGAGGAGCTATATGTCTTGTTCTCCAGTCCCTCTTCACACCTCTCTCCTCCACAAGCTAATTTCACCAAACTGTGCTAAATGACATCACTCTGTGATCAGTGATTTCATCCTTATCGAGTAGAGGCAGTTTTTGTAGGTTAGAGTATACTTACCTCACAGGCGTCCAGTTTTCCTGTCAAGAATCCAGCACATATCATTCCTGATGATATAGCTCCACCATACACATTCACTTGGTTACATACATCATTACTTATGATCTCTATTTCAACCTCTTGGAGAGAATTGGGAAAGGGACCTAAATAAGGAAACAATAAATGGACGAGAAACTAGATAATTCCAATTTATAAATCATTTAGAAAGACTAGCATTATCAAGAATCAAGTTTCATTCTATGGGATCCAATTGCTTCATGAGAAGGATGATGTGTACAAAGAAATTGGTGTGGCTTGCTGTTCAAAGCAAACATCAGTACAAATAGACAGCACACCCATCATGCTTTTTTCACTAACCACATTACTTAATTCGTTTGCATTGAGTGTAATGCACAATTGCCATTTACTTGAATGTAATATTGTTTTAAGCTATTATGTTTTCATGTTTCCATTTTCAGCTTCAGTTAAAAATGCCACTCATATGAAATTCTTGTTCTTTTTATAAAAGAAGAATTGGCATAATTAAGAAATTGGGAACTTAGTAGCCTTTACATATATGCTATGGCTGTTAGCTTGGTGTCTTTGTGGGACTCCTAACAGTGGGAGCAGGTGTGTCTCTGAGTCTTTTGCTTGCTCTTAGAACTCTTTTCATTCTGTTGGGTTGCCTTGTCCAGCCTCTATATGAGGGCGTTTGTCTTTTCTTACTATGCCTTGTTTTGTCCTGTTTGGCTGTTGTCTCCTCTCTTTTTTAAAGTTTCTTAAAAATTGTTTTTTAAAACAATCTTTTTTAGTTTGCATATTAATCCCAGTTCCCTTTCCCTCCTCTCCTTTCCCTACTCTCCCCAGCTTCCCCAATGCCACCCACTATCCACTCCTCAGAGAGGTGAGGCCTCTCATAAGAGTCAACAAAATAGGTTACATCACTTGAGGCAGGACCAAGGCCCTCCCACCTGTATCTAGGCTGAGCAAGGTAACCCTCTAGAGGGAAGAAAAGAGATATCTTTATAGAGGGAGTCATTATGGGGTTAGCAAGAAACCTGACTGTTGTCTCTTGGAGGTTTGCTCTTTCCTAAAGGAAAACAGAGGAGTAGTGAATTGGGAGATAGGGAATTGGGACAAAATCTAGGAGGAGTAGAGGGAGTTAAAACTGTGGTTGGGATGTATTATATGACAGAAGAATCCATTTTCAATAAAAAATAAAGTAAGAGGAGAAGAAAGAAGAAGAGGAGGAAGAAGAAGGAGAAGAAGAGGAGAAGGAGGAGGAGGAAAAGGAGAAGCAGCAGCGTAGGAACCCAAAACTCATGCCTACATCTAAAAGTCTGTGCTTGCTATTTTTTGAGTATTATTTAGTGGAACAAAATGTCATATGTCTCAACTTGATATTATTACCAGCTTCAGAGATACACAGATCAGAGGCTCCCATTTAATATTTAATGTCAGATAGGAACAGCTATTTGGATTCCTTGCCGAGGCCCTTTCAGTATAGCACTATGACCCTCTAGGATTATCATGATTAGTGCTTGCAAATTGTATGAGTCAGACAGACATAACCAACTTCCTACATATGAAATATGCAGGCAGAAGGAAGGCTATTTGAGTGAATATGCTCTGATAAGCTTTGAAAAGAAAGTTCTAAGAGTATGAAAATATAGTCTATAAAATGACTGTCTATATATTGCTATCTTAGCCACTATATCAAATGTAAGTACATGAATACTGTTTATAGCTAAAGTTTTCAGTTTTTTGCTGTGAGAGTCATGAGATTATCTTGATTTATACTTTATATTTTTGTATTTGATTAGGAATTTCCTTGCAGAAGCAGCTTAGGTTTGCATGGTTGAATCCTTGTTTTTCCTGATATACTCACCATTTGCTTTCAAAGCTCCCCATCCAGTGACAAACACTTTACTCTTTGGCAAGACTTGAAAGGTAGCATCGGGGAGACAGACTCTGCGCAGGTTTTCAGAAAACAGGACGGGGCTGGAGAGCTTGACCACAGCAATATCATCGTCATGCTTGTGAGCTGCGTAGTTCTCATGAATAATAATGGATGCTATCTTTCTTGTCGTCAGTGGATGGCTTAGGGTTGTCCCAAAACTGACTGTCCACAGTTTGGGGTTTTTGTATCTGATTACAAGTTAAAAGAAGCAAACACAGTGGGTTCATTTCTGGTCTAAAGTTGCCCAGAATTCTGGATGAGCAATTGAACTTAAATGTGGGGGCAAATTCTTTAAGGTCATAGTTGATTTGGACTTTCCCACTATCTTCTTTTTAGACTTTCCCATCCTGATAATTTGCTTTCTAGCTGATAAGAAACATTCCATTAAAAGGTTTAGTTACACTCTTTGAGAACGAGTATGCATTTTAAAGGAAAGAATGTATTACTGTTATTTTATATAAATAATATACAAAATATATTATTTGAATAAAATAAAAATGCTTGATATAATTGTCTACATATATTTCTTTAACTACTCATACATACCCATAATCATGTACAGTCATATATTTTTATTCATAAGTCCATAGAGAGGAAGACATAGACAAAAAAAGAGAGAAAAAGATAGAGGCTCAGAAAAAAAAGATAAATTTGTAGCCATATGTTATGTTTTTTATGACTTTTCTTCCATTGGGCATTTTATTTAGAATATTTCCCCCATTTTTGAATTTTGCTATGGTTATCCTATCTTCCTTTTTCTCTCTAACAGTGACATATGACAAATCTTTAATAGTGTACAAAGAATAAAAACATATAGCCCATGGCATTCATGTAGAATATCAGATGTTAGCTTAGGTTGGGATATAATTAAAGGCACTAAAAGAAAACTTCTGTCTATTTCAGGAAAACTGGTGAGCATACTTGATTTTTCACTGTTGCCTTGTTTATAGGTAAAACTGAGATGAATACAAAAGATACATTCAGTTGGAACTGAAAGCAATCTATTCTTTGCCCTCTTCTTCAGTAACTGATTTTCTTTTCTACTCTTGCCAACAAGGGACTAAGAGAGTCATGGAAAGGATGAAGAAGAGATAAGAATTATGGAATATGAATGTGAGCAGCAGAGATGCTTGGGACTTCAAGAGAGCAACCTGAGGACTCACATATCAAAGCAGTGAGCAGAAGTCAGGAGCCACTGGGAGCCAATCAGGGATGCACCACAGAGGTGGATACCATCCACCTGTAGGCTGCTTTGCCATGGCCAGGAAGCTTTGTCTGCAGGCTTTCCATTAGCAATCCTTGCTGTGGGTGGGTACTCCATCCCCAAGCCACAATCTGCCAGCCAGAACAAGATAACATGGTTATTTGCAGAGACTTGTAAATGTATCTAGATGTCTTCAGCAAAATTAAGCATGAAAATATTTAAGGATGTGTCTTGCCTTGAAAATATTTATTAAAATTAACAGTATATGTCATGAGGATGATGGATAGTCAAGTTTACTGATTATATATATTTTGCAATTAAAGCATTAATAGTTAAAAGTTAACTATCATCTTTAGTGTATTTGAAGTAATTTTCCTTTGATATTTGTTTTTCATATTTTCTGAGTCCTGTTATTTACAACAGGTTATTCCAGTGATTGTTTACAATTATTGCAGATAAATTTTAGCCATAATATTTTTAAATCTATTAAATAAATGATATTTTATATAACATAGTAGGTTTCATTTAAATCTATGAAAATTTATATTTTAACAAATAAGTCTGATGTGGGAGGTCCACTGTCTATGTGTTGCTTTTATTGGTTAATGAATAAAGAAACTGGCTTGACTTGATAGGGTAAAACAGAGCTAGGTGGTGAAGACTAAACTGAATGTTGGAAAAATGGAGGCAGAGTCAGAGAGAACTTAGCCCCTGCCAGAGCCAGATGGAACTTTAGCCGGTAAGCCACAGCCACTTGGCGATACACAGATTAATAGAAAAGGGTTAAATTAATATGTAAGAGTTAGCCAATATGAAGCTAGAGCTAATGGGCCAAGCAGCTGGGCCACATAGGTTCTGTGTGATTGTTTCAGGGCTAAGTGACCGGGAACAAACAAGCGGCCCCCTCCAGCAGCTAGGAAAGAGGTCAGATGCATGCTTTATATCAGCATATATAGTATAAGAGGCCACACCCAAGTGGGCGGGTAACTTAAAGGCTACTGGAGATAGGAATTGCTACAGCATAAGTCAAATAAAAATAAATTGGAAAAATTCATGGAATTTGTTAAGGAGGTCAGTAGTGAATCTTACTATTAAAAGAAAAAATATTGCTAGAAAATTTATAAAAAAATTTTGTTAGTAATTTTCTCATTAATTGAAAGTAAGCCACATATCCATTTAGAAATACTGTAGGTATTTGAGAAGTGGGATACATGGAGATAAAGACCAAAGAGTTGTGAGTTTGATTCTTTGATTTAATAACATATGAGTGACATTCTTGGACTCACCACTGTTTAGAATATTCTCTGCTAGTGCTGCATTCATTTCTGGAAAAAAAATGAAATGAAGGTCATTTTTCAGTGACTTAAGTGTTATAATTTAAAGTACAATGCCTATATGGTATGAAATCTTCAGATTTGGAAAAAATGAGCTAATGAAGAAAGTCAATGTAAAGGCAATAAGATAAGCCATGAAAATGGGTACTGAAATATCAGTTAAGATTCTGACTGCACATGGATTTCAGGAAGATCCTGATATGATTATAAAATCATTGTCACAGACAGACATTATTTGTCTGAAAGATTAATGTCATACCAATTTATTGATGTAAAAGTTAGGTGTGTAGAGCCATGTTTACATGTGTCCTCCAACATGTGTAGAAGCCTTTCATTCTAGCTTCACTTGTATGGTGCTGTATAGGAGAGGCGTACAAACCATCTTCAAAGTCTGGTATCTAGGATTGGCCCATAGATTTATTCCTATTGTATCAAATTCCACCGCATCTAACATGTTATCATTTTTATTTACAGATAAAACTTGAAAATTATATAACCCGTGACTACCTTCCCAAATCACTTGTATTGCTCTTTATGCCAGCATGTGTAGTGAGATTCGAGTCAAGTATATTCAGATGAAAAATGGGCTAGCATTTCAGGGTCAGGTCTTTAGATCAGTCTCAAGGGACACTGAGTTGAAACCATTGTTAGGAAGTTAATTATAGAACTGTAGTAGATTTTCTAGCTGGCCCTAGGTGTCTAGGACCCTATTATGTCCTCAGTGTCATACTGAACTGCCCTTCCTCCTTACTACCTGGGCCTTCAAGGTCTTAACTGTGTTCAGATGTTGCTTCTGTTGGCAGTCTTTAATCAACTAGCTGCCTGCTTCATCAGAACGCTTTTCCCATGGCCTTTCCCTGCAGGGTCTCCTGTCTTTTAGACCTCAACTTTAAAAGACTCCTTCTTTTACAGTGCTTTCCATGACAAAGCAAACTGAAGTCTCATGTTGTTGTCAGGACAACATTACTTGTGGCTGCCCAGTTTGTTCACTTTCTCCTTTCGGTTAGAATATTGATTCTAGGTGTACAGAGATTTCAGTTCCTGAATGGAATAGCATAGTTGCTGAGTGAATAGATGAATAGCAGTTATGATCTATAGTCTACTGAGTTCTATAAGATATGTACTGTGATGAATTATACACTGTGTTGTATAATATCTTTGTAGTGATGCCATGATACAAGTCTACAGAAACATGATGTAACACTTGTTGAGGAACAGTCTCAAGGTCAGGCAGTTCGTCCTTCCCATGAAAGTTATCTATATGTTAGTCCTACCCTCTATTGGGTCATAATTCACAGTGAGTGGGTTATGGTTAATTTGTAACTTATTAACAACCTTCTCCTAAACCAATATCTATCGTCTGTGATGGAGCTGTGTCTCACATAGAGGCATGGTTCAATAGCTGTGCTCTTCTTACCCGATGGAAATACTGTAAAACTTTAGTTCTGGGCCAAGATTGTTCAGATTCAATTTTCTCTTCTTCTTCTGTAAATGCAACCAGCTACAGTCCACACTGTATTTGTGAATTTTGCATCAATAGATTCAACTAACTCCCAGTCAGAAATATTTGCAAAACACTGAATCTGACTTGTATTTTTCCCATTATATTCCCTAAACAATATAGTATGCTAAGTACTTATGTATAATTTATGCTATATTAGATATTTTAAGTAATATATAGTTTACCAAAGTGCATGGGGGGACTGAGGGGTTGGTCAGTATTTCACCTACAATGCCCAAGGTCCTAGGTTTGAACTGTGGTACAATAACACACATACACACACACACACACACACACACACACACACACACACACACACAGAGTGCATGGGGAGACCTGCATACATTGTATAGCAATACTGTGAAATTTTGTAGAAGAGTTGTGATATTAAAATTATTTACTACGATAAAAGAACTCTGGAAGCTGTATAGAAAGAGACAAAATGGTGAAAGACTTCAGAATTTGAGGAAGGATAAGGGCTGGGCTTTATGACCTTTCTTTTTGTTTTACTTGTAACCTGGACTAGGGGCCAGAAAGGTCTGTTAATAAATGGCCTTTATCAACAAGTTCAAAGAAAACAATCCCTGGAAATATTCAATTTTCCTATGCAAAATACTAGAAGAGGGGAAGGACAATAGAGACCTCTCTAGACCTCTACTGTAAAATTCAAGCTTGAAAGTCCAATTCTCCAGAAGCAATGACACCAGGAATCCCTAAACCACCCCAGTTCCCCTGCTGTGACCAAAACACTGGTGGACAAACTATCACATCTGTGGAGACATCTGCAGACTCCTGTCTCTACTTAGTGACATAAGGAGATCCAGGTCCATAGACAGAAATATGAAACTACAGGTCAGTGCAGAGAAGCACATTCTATGGCCATGAATAGCAGGCAGCAAAACAGCATAGTGTTGAAAGAATCTCCAAGGCTGAACTGCCATTGAAATAACAAAAGTAGGCAAGAATTTAGACTCCCAGTGTAGGCAAGGTCGAAGGTGTGCTAAATGGAAAAAAAAAATATTTATTCAGTATTAAGATTCCCCTAGCCTATAATGTTCAGAATATGCAAAATCTCATGAAATGAAACAAAATAAGAAAGAAAATCTGCAGTTTGAATGAGAACACAAACAACCAGTGCTAATTCTGAGAGATCTAGAATGAAAGAAATAATTGATGTAGATTTTGAAGAGCTGCCACAATCAATGATCTTGTAATAAGTGAAAAATAGAAAAATATTAACAAAGCAGTAGAAATAATTTAAAAATTATCAAAATGATAGGGATGAGAAAAAATTGCTGTCATATAAGAAAAATAATAGCAGTGAGAACAGATCAACTGATTTGATGATATTCCTAGTGCAGATGGATAATGGGAACATCAGTGAACCTGAGGACAGTAGCTGAATTATTCAGCTTCAAGAGCAGTGTAAACGAACCCAAATGAGCAGGCTTTGGTGTCTGTGGGATACGTTACAGAACAGGGACACTTGTGACTTTCTAGAATGGAGTCAAATAAGTATGGGTCTAAAAAGAGAGTCTATAAAACAGAGGTTGAAAATTCCTCACAATTGTTAAAGACAGAAGTGTATAGGTTCAAATAATGAGAAAACTCCAAATAGGACAGAGTAATGAGAGCCATCATAAGGAAACTGTAAAGAAAATAGACATTAAGGAGTACAGAATGAGTCTGAAATTGACTTTTAAGAGACTCCTTTTGTATCTCGCCCACTTTCAAGGAACTGAATTAGCTTACAGAGTTATAGGGCAAACATTTGCCAGACCCAATCCCCTCCCAGTGCTGAGCTCAGCTTGTGTGTGCGTGCATCACTGAGTAGCGCAAACATTTCCTGCACCCAAGGAAGCATAGTGTGCTGTGAAAGAAAAAAGATAAAAAGTCAAAGAATTTCCCAAACAAGTCTGTGGAGCACAGATGTGTGTGTGTGTGAGAGAGAGTGTGTGTGTGTGAGTGTGTGTGTGTGTGTGTGTGTGTGTGTGTGTGTGTGTGTGTTTGTATCAGGAAGGATTATTATCACTTTTCTGAAAGGAATGAGAAACATCTGTGAAATAGCTTACTTAAACAGGAGACTGAAGTTCTGTTATGGGATAGATTAGCTGATGTCTATGTGGATCAGCAATGATGGAGGTCTGGTCACAATCTTGTGAAGGACATCAATATCCCATAAAATATAAAGAGGTAAGTGTAGTGTGATTAATATAGAGAGGCGGGTGTGGTAGGATTGATCTAGGGATGTGGTGTGGATGGGATTACTATAGTAATAACGAAGTTGAGTTTCTAGTATTTGTCTTAATAGGAGTTCAAATTAAAAATTAAATTTCTAAAAGTGACAACCTGAAAGATAGCCCCGTTGGTAAAGTATTTGCCACACAACATGAGGACTGGAATTTGGAAACCTAGCACCTATGTTAAAAGTCCAGGCAGTACAGAGTAGCCCTAGAGTTGGGGACGCAGAGACGGATCTTGCTTAAGGTAGTCTATCTGTCAGTGAAATCCATATTCACCAGAGAGAAAACTTTTCTCAAAAACCTGATAGAGAGCGACTGAGTGAGGAAGAAGTCTGATATTTATGTTTGGCTTCTACAGCCACATAGAAGCACAGGTATGTGTACCCTTCTTCCCTGCTCCCTCCCACCCATACACACATGAACACCTGCACATACACACACATTTGTAAAAATAAATAAAAAGACAAAATCTCCTGAGTATACTGGGAACATGGGGACTTTGGGGGAAGGTTGGAGGGGAGGGGAGAGGCAGGGAGGGGACAAGAGAAAAATGTAGAGCTCAAAAAAATCAATAAAAAGTAAAAAATAAAAATGTATCTCAGATATACCATGTGCCCTCAAATGGGAGAATTGTCTGTATTCTGTCAATCATGTTTTAAATAAAACGCTAATTGGCCAGGCAGGAGGTGTAGGCGGGAAAACCAGAGGGGAAGTGGAAATGATGCAAGGAGAGCAGGAGAATTCTGGGGAGGAGGAATTTAATTCCTCCCACTTCTGCCCAGATCACCGAAGCAACAGGATGTGAGCTGCCCCACTGAAAAGGGTACAGAGCCTCATGGCTAAAATAGATCAGAAAAATGGGTTAATCAAGATGTGAGAGTTAGCCAGTAAGAAGCCTGACCTAATGGGCCTATCAGCATTATAACTTATGGAGATCTATGTGTGATTATTTTCTCTGGGACTAAACAGCTGGGGGGCCAGGCAGGACAAAAACCCCAACAAACAGGCCTGGCCTTTTCATGTTACACAAACTAAATCTCTTCTTTATGACTTTGGCAAAAACCTATAATATAACTTTCTTTTTGATATATCATAATCAACCTCACTCTCTCAAACAATTTTGGGGATGAAAGTAATGGGGGAAAATATACCGGTAACTTGTAATTTGCTGTTGGCTTTCCAGTCTCATTTCATATCTTAAAAAATTCTAATTAAATATGACAATTTTCTAAGTTAATTTAGAGGCTAGCAGCTGTCTGAGAATTATAAAGAACTTTTTAAAATCTCACATACCTAATATTTATCAACTACCTCTTTATGTCTGTGTTGAAAGTGAGATAGATTTTTATTTTTTATTTTTTATTTTTTATTTTTTTTTCTATGACTGAGATACATTCTAACAGGGTTTGGCATTTTTCTTCAGCTCACTCTATGTCCCAGGTCAAGTCTATTCCGTGTGTTGTGTGAAGAATATGTTAATATTAAATGAACTCCACTTATAATTAGACCATGTTTGTGCCTGACATATTATGATTTTTTTGTTCATATCATCTTCATATTATATATTCAGTTGGGGAAACTCTTGCCAAAATAAAAGAGATTTAGAGATCTAGTGTATCAAAGTAGAAGTTAGGATATTTTTAAATACCACAAACATTGTTACTTAATTTTAAAATGTTGCCAAGGTTTGCTTTAATAAGAGAAAAAATATTTTTATATTTAGGGAACCATATAGTTCTAATAATTATTTTCATACCAACCAAGGGAAGATAATCTTTGGTGCCAAATGAGTGAGAAGTTGTTCATTAGTGACTCAGAGACCTAGAATAAAAATGGTTTTGTTTTATAGTGAAATAAAGAAGCTTTCTCTGGAGACAGATGATAATTAAAAGTGTTAGCTCTTGTGAGAAGAAAAAAGTGTCTTTCTTGCCTCTAAGATTAGGTAATGAAATGTCTCTCTTCATGAAGCTCTGGGTGGATTGCAACTTCTTGTGCAAAATGCTATCAGCTTGTCTTTTCAAAGTGCCCACATTGTTATGGGGAAACTGAAATTTAATCAGTATGTCTGCTTTCAAACCATCATTACTTGGCCTGAAAAAGAAAGGCACCAATGTAAGGCAATGACCTAGCAATTATTCTTAATACTATACTATTAGTACTTCAATATTGCTTGTAGCTTTAAGAAAATAAAACAAATACTTCATGCAGCTTATTGTCATGATTATCTCCTTTATATATCACACAAATGTTAAATCCTGGCTTACCCTCAGCTTATAAAACTTAATCATAATCATAGTGGAGAATGGAAAATCATAAATCTGACTTTGTATTTATATCATCTATGAATAAACGTTCTATTTATATCACATATAAATACATCTATATCTATATATACATATATATAAACTCCTATTTTTAAAAAATATTTCTAGCAGGTATTTACTATAAAACAAGTAAAATCAGCAGAAGTAACTAAGATTGAAGGAATTTTCTATTGAAATATCTTTTGTCTTTTCAAAGAATGAAGAGAAGAACATATTTCATGATTACTCAAAAAACTCTCCCACTGTGCTCAGTATAGGAGCAATTGCATTGTGAGAAGACCTGCTAGCTTTTCTTTGGTATATGTAAAGTCTTTACATCCTGTCTATAAAGAAAACAGGTTAAGAATAACTAAACAGTACATAGTTGCCCTTCCCTCATATGAATTTATTCATATCTGGTTACCTGAAGTTGACAACCTGAGATTTGATATAATGATGCTTTAAACTGGATCTGTGAAAAATCATATCTATCTGAAAAAGAATACAAGAGAACTTTGCTAAGTATTAACTGTGTACATTTAAAAATGCTAATTTAAAAGTTACTGTGATACAAAATGTCCTTTACTTTAATGTTTGTTTATAGTTATCTCAAAGATGCTCATTTGAGCACAATCCTGTTGTCATATAACCCTTCCTATAATTGGAAGAACTTTCTATGTGTGTTTGAAGGTGATCAGCACAAAGAGCTGAATTAAGGTAGACAATTCAAAAGCAGGAATTGGAGCCCAGAGACTGTGTAAGGTTGTCATACATGGACACATCATCCACTTGACATCTGTGTCTTGAAACTCAGTCTTGTTAGTCTCTGAGTGTGATGGAAAGATCAATTTTTAGGTTTGGTAAAACAGTTTTAGATGAAGTTTTGATCCTTCAGACAATGGTGTTGGGAGGATGCACACACAGGCACTTCCACAAACTTGATTATTTATCAGAAGAAATGTACAAAGTATTTACTTAGAATAAAATATGTCTACGAATGCCACAATGTACATTTTGGCTTTACTATATGGAATACTTCATCGATGGTAAAATATCCCAGATCAACATTTCTTAACAAAGCAAGAACAATGGCAATAGGATGACAGTTCTTGCAAGCCCATTTATTGTCATTGACTCATCAAGCTGATTTGGTCAAGCTAACCTTGACCAAGCTGCATCTGAGCAGGTAGTTGCGCAAATCTCAGGAGTGCTGCCGAAGAGTGAAATAAGCGCTATAAGACTAGTGTTGTTTACTCATCATTTAATTTACAAAGTCCTCTTCAATGAAATGTCATGTGATGTTTTATTAGCTAGACTGGGGAGATGTGCTTCAGGAGAGGAATAACTGTTAGTAAAACAAGTGGTCGCATGTTTCTTTTTAGCATATCTGGAAGTATTTCTTATGAAAACATTTTTATTTATACATGTTTAATATCCCTATAAAATATTTAGAGAATCTACTATAAAAAACCTTGAAGTCACTTGAAATTATTAGCCAAGGAACCTGGCATGCTTTGGGTATATATGCATTCATGTACACATACAGATTATTATTATCATTTACATTTTATGCAGAAAATACACAAAATCAAATTTAGTTACTGGTTTTCATATTAACTTTTCAGAAAATGTTTACATTATCTGAAACTAGTACTGTGTGTTAGTCAATAAACTAATAAACTTCGCACCAGAGACTGAATCTGACTTGCATTGTATCATTTATAAACTAGCAATGTTCTCTACATTGTATTTGGTTTCCCATTGTGGTGTGTATGCATATTCACATGTTTAGCTGGTCATGTATGTATGTAATTGCTTGTATATGTATATATGAATTGTGTTGAGGCCAGAAGTTAACATTAGGTGTCTTCTCCTATTGCCCTCCACCTTACATACTTTCAGGGTAGCAATGGTGGTAGTAGCAAAGCATAGATCTACCTCATTGCTGAGTTTTTGTTTCAGGTCTATCCGAAGTCTTGACTGTTCTATAGACAAATCTGAGCTATATTTAATGCTGGGAATCTGGAAGGAGGCCTGGTAGTAATAAGTCTTCTCATCTGAAAGGCAGAACAGAGATGGATAACTTCTGTTAATTACTTTGAGCAAAAGCAGTCAAGAATGCATAATTTTTCTGTGAAGATTTTTATGCTGGAAGCTCAGTCCTCCATATAATAATTTTGAGCGACATAAATCCTCTAGTAAGTGGGGAAGGGAGGAGCTGACTGTCATGATTGCCCACAGATTAATGTATTGGCTTTACACAGTGGGTTAGTCCTTACAGGTGATTAATTTTTATGAAAGTCGTGTTCCTTCTTGTCTCTTGTGTTCTGACTTTCCATGTGATCCAGGCACTACTCAACCTTGACACGCACTCCTCCCATAATGCTGTCTTCTGTGTTTGTAAATGGAGAGTGTTTGTTCATTTCCTTGCCACCCAGAGCCAAATAATCACACAAAACTATATTAATTATAATATTGTTTGGCCAATAGCTTACATCTTAAATTAACCCATTTCTGTTAATCTATGCACCACCATGAGGTTGTGGTCTACTGGTAAGAATCCAGTATCTTTCCCCTTCGGCAGCTACATGGTGTCTCTCTGACTCTGCCTTCTTTCTTCTTTCTCCCTGCATTCAGTTTAGTTTTCCTAGCTTGATTCTACCCTGCCATAGGCAGAAGTAGCTTCTTTGTTAACAAATGATAATAAAACTTATTCAGAGGATACAGAGGGGAAGCCTACATCAACTATTTTGATGGAGTTTGTTGCAGTCTTCCAAACTAGCCTGTACCACTGCCACCTGAAGCCTCTTTTGTTGATAAAGTATCCAGGTTTTATAAAGCATCTTATTATAGAAACATTAAGCAAACTGATAGTCATATAATCAGTGCACTTCAGAAAATTAAATATCCAATAGATGTAGCTAGTATCTCCCCTAACCATTTTAAGATCATATATCTTAATAACCACCATGGTTGCATGTTTGTTTTCTGGCACAATCATTACCTATTATAGGTGGTATTTCATAATAAGTGACAATTTAAAATACTAAGCAATTGATTAATGTCATAATACAATAGGTTGACACCAAATTTAAAAATTCTACTGTAATAAATTTTACTATTAGCAATATATATATATATATCATCACACCATAAATAGCATATCATGTGAACTTCTTGTGCTATTCAAAAAATGGTATTACATGAATAGCATCAGGTTTGAATATTAGAAATGATTTTTTACACTCAAGATTACTATTGCTCAAATTTATTCTAATAAAAATTTTATTCTGTAATTGGAGAAAATGTTAAGATTTAGAAATATATGTATTCAGTCTTCAAATTTCCGAAGTAATACAATAAAGTGTGACCTTACCATACACCAAAAAGTAAACAAGGAGCCCAATCATTATTGCTAAAGCCAATGAAACAGCCGTGGTAGTAAGAGCAACCATCCATGGTTTCCAAGAACATTTTCTTCTACCCAGGATCCCTGGCCTTTTGAAAGAAAAATGCATATTAAAAGCAGTGAGGACCCTAAGACTATTATTTTTTTACATTCAAGTGATTTCTCTCTGAAGTTCATAATTAGTTTTTATTATATTTCATAACATTTGAATATATTTAATGCAATATTAGAAAAATACTACAAAAATCTAACTTAATTTTTAACTTTAAGCAGTCAACATTATACAGAGGTTACTACTGTATATAATTTCTGGTCCATTATAAATTTTCTTCTTCTTTTTTGTTTGGTACAAGATCTAATATCACAAATGTAATTGATGAGCTTCAGATAACAATGAATCTCTGAAAAGGGTGGCATTTGGGTTGTTGTTCCCACATAGTGAACTACAGCAGTTAATAGATTACAGAAGCTTATTGAGAGGAACAGAAATGAGACTTGATCTACTGGATTTGTTGTCTTGTTTGTTTGTTTTTCTTTTTCACAGTTTTACACTTAAACTGTGTAATTAGAACATGTAATTTGTACTGAATATAAGGAAGATGAAATTATAATGGACTCAGTCAAGTAGCAAAGAAGATACTTATGATGAAGAATAATTAGCAAAATAAAAAATCACCAATATCACGAATAAACATAAAAATGGTAATTCAGAACTCTGGTTTGGTATAATGAATATTACATAGAGTTGTAACAATTCAGACCTATGTGGGATTTTCTTGGTTGTTGTTTTTAACCAAAGATATTACTAGGATAAGGTCAAATATAATCAAGGAAATAGAACATCATAATAGTTGTATGCAGAAGAGAAGAGAAGAGAATAGGATAGAACAATAATAGTGTCAGGGGCTTGCAAATATGACGAAGAGCCCATGCTTCTGATTGCAGTAAGTGTCTGAATGTGGCATGAAGCTCTGTGGAAACAGGATGTTATGATAACTTTTTTCCCATCCCAGTGTCAGGTTCTTCCGTGTAAAGATAAAATCTGAACAATCATAGTGTAGGGACTAGAACATTAACATGAGCAGTGCAGGGTGAGCTAATGCATAGAGAAACTAACTGTACAGGAATGCAATTCTGAAAGTTTACCATGTTGCTTCTTGTTCTATACAACCTACCCTTGAACAAGAGGAATTATTTTTTCTGGAATGGGTACCTGGTCATGGACAGGCATAAAGGGGTCCCAGTTAACAAGTTGAAGGGATTAACTGAATAGCTACCATGGACAGCAATGGTCTGGAGGGAATGGAAATGTCTCTACAATACAAAAGAGAACCTAGAATATCCACCTCTCATGTGTTGATTGTGAGTGAGCCCCTCTGTCTACCTAGCAATGGCATTATAGGTGAGCAACTATGCCTGCTTGGCATTGACACTGACATTATTGGCAAACCACTATGCCTATGCCTGACATTGACAAAGTGTCTGGGATCTGAACTCCAAGTCTCAGGTTTGCATAGAGCATGCATTTTGTTTTGTTTGTTTGGTTTTTCATCTGAGCCATTTTTCCAGACCTGAATCCTGAAGAAATTTTATAGAAAAGTTAGTGCTTCTCTTTCGGAGATTATGATGTCTAAAATGTCTTCAAAACTTGAGAAAGATGGACCCACTGTTTTGTTTTCCTCTCTGGATTAGCAATGGAATTTTTGTTGTTTTTATTTTTGTTTTTGAGACATGGTTTCCCTGTAGCTTTGACACCTGTCCTGGAACTAGCTCTTTTAGACCAGGCTGGCCTTGAACACAGAGATCCTCCTGCCTCTGCCTCCTGAGTGCTGGGACTAAAGGCATGTGCCACCACCTGGCAGAAAACTCTCTTATAAAGATCTTGTGTTAAAAAAAATACGTGTGTGAGTATGTGTGTGTGTTTGTGTGTGTGTGTGTTCAAATGGATATGATTAGTGTAGGAGCCAGCCATGATAAGCTAAATAGAAACAGACCACCTAAAGGAAGTTCTCCCAACCATTATCACCTGCCAGTGTAGGACTCAGCCATGATAAATTTAGTGGAGGTCCGAGTCTTAGTAGTTCACCCTGAAGTAGTACCTGGTTGCAAAAAAGATCACAAGCTGAGATTACCTGAGCACCACCCAAGAACAGAGCACCCAAAGGAAATGCCTAGCACTCTAACCATTGTAGATAGGATCACCTTCCAGCACACACTCACCAGGGCACCCCTAGATAAATGTCAGCCAAACAGGGGTCCTGAACCTTAGAAATCCCTCACCCCCACCTTTACTACTATAAAAACCCAACTCTGACTGAGCTCAGAACTCTCTGATTATTCTGATATGTTGGACACACTGAGAGACTGAGTTTGCAAACCGGTATAAAGTAAAGGCTCTTTGCTTTTACATACAGGACTAAGTCTCCTTGTTGGCTTTTGGGGGACTGCATGGATCTGGGCATAAGAGTTAATTGTTGAATGACTCTACCCTAGACTTTGAGACATCGCTGTGACTCAGTTACCATTTCATGCTTGAGCGTCACAGGAGAAAGGGTTTATTCTCCTAACCATGCAAACTCACTCCAAAATATTTATTTCTTGATTTCCTCTAAGTAATATGTCTCTTTTTTGGGTTTTGTATTAGCCTGATTTTAACTTCATTATAAGGACTGTTCTAGACATATAGAAGCTTGTCCTTCATAGGTATTTGGTAAACGCTTACTTACTAAATGAAATAATGTGCTATGAAGCAATAAATCATTAGTAACTTAGAATCAGAGTTTTACAGCGAATGATTTTCTTCATCCTTGGAAAGATGAGACATGAAATTGAGCATTACCTGCAGTCTAAGTAAAAATAAGCAAATTTATTATTTTAAAAGAACACTGAATGACATTCTATCTTTTCTCCTTCTTAGGCTTTCCACATCCCCTTCCCTAATCCCTCCAATTTAAAACATTTAATTTTGGTTAGCCTATCCCAGTGAGATGATTAAACAGGTTCATTGTAATACAGAAACATTGAGCTCTAACAATAGCTCCCGATATGCAACCCAAAGGAAAGCCACAGGTGACCCCGTCCCTGTGGTTCTAATGTCATCATGACCCATGAGTGATAAAAGCTACCCATTCATCAACACTCTCCTCATTTCAATCCCTCCCTGATTTCATTTAAACCTGAAGTATTTTGTTTTCTAGACAGTCTAATAGGCAGGTGTTTCTTAAACCAAGCCTGAGAAGAATTTTTTTTTAAAAAAAAAAGAAACAAAATGAACAAGCAAACAACAACAGTCTCCTCCACATTCACCGTGTTTTTCAATGTCACAGTCTTACCAAGGGTCATTTTTCAGATCCTGTCCTCCTACTGCCTACTTTTTCTTCCAAAGATTATCAAATGCTTACTTCACAAAAATGGTGTCGCTTTAATGATGCAGAGGAAGAGAAAAGGCTTTTCTTCCTCCCCAGCAGAGACTGTATGATAGGAAAACGTTTAAATGAGGAGCTCAGCATCATGGTCTCAAATGTAGGTGTGCAGTCAGCACATTTGAATTCTTAGCCTAGTATCCTCCTGCTGTCTTTTATACCATCGTTCAGCTTCAGTGTGTGGTGCTTTCTTCACCAGTAAATTAACAATACTTCCTGGTAGGTTTGTCACAAAGACAAACTGAATGCTTATGGCAAACGGAAGAGCTTGTAGAGCAGCAGCAAAGCCTGGCAAGGACTCTGGAGTTTGAGTTATTTGATTGCTGTTCTTCACCAGGGCATTTGTTTATAGAAGCAGCTGAGAAAGCACACACAGGAAGTTTCCACACCGAAGGAGCGAAGGCAGCCTTCTGGGCAGGCTGCTTCATGGGGTCAGGGGTGCTACTACAGAAGGAAATACACGGAGACACTGGTGTCTAGGACATTGGAGTTTGGGTGGCACTGTGGGTACAGATTATTACAAGTTCGGAGAGCAGTTAGGGAAGCTAACAAAGCCCTGATTATCCCTACAGAGTCTTCCATCAGATAAGATGGTTTCCAAATTTGAGATATGGAAACCACCGGCAGTAATTTCACAAGATTGGAAGCCGTCATTACGTAATGAACGTCATGGGGAAAGAATTACTGGAAGAAAAGAAATGCACAGAGGAACGTGTAAATAAAGATGGATGAATTGTCTACTCAGAAGATTTGCTTCCTTGACTTTGAAAAGAGAAAATAATTTTGGAGAAAATCATCATACAATAGTAAGGTTCTCATTCACAATCTCGGGGGCTTCAATGAAAAAGGTGATTTTAATTGTACCAATGGATACAGCAATACTCATAACATTGTTGGTACAAGCACACATGCTAAAATTTAGATTATAGACTAAGTGAGACTTTTTTTTTAACCTTTCTGTCTGAACAGGCTAAATGCCTTGCTTTCATAACCCCACACTTTTCAAATATCAAGAAATGTTTCATAATTGGAAAGTTGACTCTTGTCACAAACAAAATTAGATAAAAATAAATGATGTTTCAGTAGGTAAGAGTTCAAGAGGGGGTAAACAAGGTCAAGGTATGCAACCTTCCGAATCTCTGTGTGGATTTGTAAATTTATATTTCCTGAGGGAAACTTTAGGTTACTTAAGTTAGATCGATAATTAAAACTGTATTAATATTAAAAAAAAAACCAAATGCATAAGACTGGCATTGCTGAGACTGTTGAGGGCATCTGGCCCTAACATTCCTCCCCAAAATTTCTCCCAATATGGCTTCCATGTTTTTGTTGTTTCTTTGGTGGTGGTGGTGGACACATTTTCTCCCTGTCTTAAAATATTTTCAATTAAGATTTAATGTATTTTGACCTACACATTAAAGTTAGGACTTACTTTCAATGTTGGGGGATAGTTTTAATTTAAAAATTAAAACTTGGAGCTTGGGGGTAAAAAAATCAACCAAGGTTTTCCTTTGCTGGAAATAAGTTTTGAAAGGTATAATTTAAAATGCTGAATAATTCAAATAAGAACCAAAAGAGGAAACACTGTGTAAGCAACATAGACGGGTTCTCACTGCCATGGAGTTCATGAGTCAGCAGGGATCAAATGAGTAAGTAACTCTGAGGCA